TGGGTTCCCGCTACACTACAGCAAGCCGACTTCTTACGCGTCTGCGAGCATGCGTAGCACACGATTGATTCCGAATTTCAAATAACATTATATCACCGAAAGTCTGTTATACCGTTAGAGTTGGCAACCCTCCGTAAATTCACGCCCAGTCCTTTAAAAAAAAATAGAACCTAAAATGACTTGTCCGTAAAAGACCGTAAAGTACTTTGGGATGTTCGTAAACACGCTGAGCATCTATAATAATAATAATAATAATAATAATAATAAAGTTCATTTCAAAAACACGCTTCATCCCCAAAGGCTCGAAGCGCGGTACAAAGTCAACAAAAAACATATCTATAATTCACCACATTTAAAACAAACGCAACACTACAAAAACTAATTACAAGCATACAATATCAAAGTCTTTCTAGCCATTTCTATGATGTCCTCTTGCTTGCTTTAAGCTCTGAACACTTGCGAAAATGTTCTATAATAAAATAGCTCGATCACATCGACTTAATCCTCAGACTCAAAGAGAGTGGAGACATGTGTGCATAGGGGCCGAGAGACATAAAGACATAATCATATATATGGCATTTTTAAAGCTTTATCACCAAAGTTTTATTCATTACAATAGTTTCATTCATACCATTATAGTTTTATTTATTAAATTAGTTTATTTTACCATTGCTTCATTTATGCCCATACATTTCATTTATTCTTACACTTTTTCATTTATTTCAATACATTTCATTTTATTCCCATACATTTCATTTATTCCCATACAATTCATTTGTTACCTACATTTCATTCATTACCATACATTCCATTCATTACAATAGTTTCGAAAAGTTATGCATTTAAAAATTTCCCTTACAAATTATGCTTGTCGGAAAAAAAAGTTTGCAGATTTTAAATATTTGTAAGTGAATTGCATTTGATTGATTAGGTGACCCAGCGTACACAATAAATGGGTTAAAGCTTAACGCCTTCTCAAATCTATACAAGAACTTTGTTTTAACCTGAACATCATATAACGCTTGGATGGAATCAAAACTTGAACTGTTGACCCTTAACCTTTCTTTAAGATAACAGAGTTACTGTGACCCCATTTGAATTGACGTGACAAGTTAATAGCATTTAATCTCAAACGACTTCACATAAATTGGCGAAACTTTGGGGTGGGGTGGAGGGTGGGGGTGGGGGTGTAGGAATTGACCGCCACTAGGCGGCACTTTTTTTGGTTTATATATTGTTACGCACTGACTTGTATTGGGAGAAAGTAATCTCCTATTTTAATTTCAATTGGCTCGTTGTAAACAGTGCCTAACAAAGGACGATACCATATAATCAACAATATTAAAGATACGACCCAAAACAGTTTCTAGTTACAATTAATTAAGATTTATTAAGTCTTAAGATAATTACAAAATAAAATAAAATAAAATTACAATCTTCAACTTACAGTATGGCAGATGTCGTACCGGTACACAGTTAATACAATTAGAAATAATGATGCCAATAAATAATGCGAAATAAACACATATAAGTAG